GAGAAAATTTGATACTCATTTTCCACTTATGGTGCAATCATATGAATATTAACAAATGTATCTGTAGCTCAGATATTTTCTGCTCCATGCCATGAAATCTTGAAAAGCTTTTCATTCTGCTATTTTGGAAACACCCGTATTCTTTCTACCTCACCACCTTTATTATTGTTAGCCTTGGTGAAGCTGCACTATTAGGCTACGTCTACACTTCAGCGCTATTTCGGGATACTGGCAGTATCCTGAAATAGCTATTCTGTGTTTTTTGAGCATGCCTGTTATTTTGAAATATAACAGGCTCACTATTCCAATGTCCCTGTAAACCTCATTCCACGAGGAGTAAGGGACATTTTGGAACAGTGATCTATTTCAAAATACATGCAATGTAGACAGAGCCAAATTTTGAAATAAGCTATTTTGAAATTAAGTTGAAATAAGCTATGCAATTTGCATAGCTCAAATTGTGCAGCTAATTTTGAGCTCCGGGTGCAGTTTAGACTCACACTTACTTTCCATATCATCCATGATTCTCTGGGACTATAGTCTTATGCAGTATGATACCGTAGCATTATTTAAATGACTGTCTTACTTCCTTTCCATTGTATAGTTTACTTTATTTTGTCCATATTGGCAAACTGGGCAAACACAGTTTATTCAAACAGAACATCTTTTCTCCATAAGATGAAGCAACATCATATGAAATTTTAAATCATGGCAAAAATTGACAAAGGACTTAGCATGAAATGCTTTATATCTGAAATGGATAGAAATCTTCCAAAGTTAGAGTCCTAACTGTAAAAACAAACAGATTCAAATAGATAGTAAATAGGACATTTAAAAAGGCCAGCACATAATTTTTTGTAAAATAGAATAATGATCGCCAATATCCAAGTGGTTTCCTACTGTACTACCTGATGATTACAGTCAGGAGAACTCAGGGTACGTCTACACTTGCACCCTATTTCGAAATAGGGATGCAAATGAAGACTTTTGAAATTGCAAATGAAGCCAGGATTTAAATATCCCACACCTCATTTGCATATTAATGTTATGGCGCTATTTCGAAATAGCACTATTTTGAAATAACAGACGCTGTGAAGATGCAGTTATTTCTAGAGAAAACCCTTCTGTTGAAATAACTGGTAAACCTCATTGTAGGAGGAATAGCGCCATAACATGAATATGCAAATGAAGCACAGGATATTTAAATCCCGGCTTCATTTGCAATTTTGAATGTCTTCATTTGCATCCGAATTTCAATGTTTAAATCCCGGCTTCATTTCAATTTCGAATGTCTTCATTTGCAGCCTATTTCGAAATAGGGTGCAAGTGTAGACATACACTCAGGATGGCTACGTCTACACTGGCCCCTTTTCCGGAAGGGGCATGTAAATTTCACTAGTCGTCGTAGGGAAATCCGCGGGGGATTTAAATATCCCCCGCGGCATTTAAATAAAAATGTCCGCCGCTTTTTTCCGGCTTTTAAAAAAGCCGGAAAAGAGCGTCTAGACTGGCCCCGATCCTCCGGAAAAAGTGCCCTTTTCCGGAGGCTCTTATTCCTACTTTGAAGTAACATCTGATGACAAGTAACATCACTATAACAAACGTTTGTATCAAGCATGTTAGCCAAGGCAACATCCAATAAAAGGCAATCAAGATGACTAGCGTGTCACTGTAAGAAATGCTTAAAGTTTTATAGTTACAAGTAACCAAGAACAATCTTCAACTCTGCCTCTTGAGCAAACTATAGTAAAAAGCAAGAGCAAATAAAAAAAATGGAACCAGAAGAGGAAAAAAATCAAAATAATTTAACCAGCTTAGGAAACAATCCAGGAGCAGTGAACTATCCTATAAAACAAAACACTCAGTGTACTAAATATGTACTCAGAGTGGCCAGCTCTGAAAAAAATTCCTGGTAAAAAACTAGTTTTTGCTTTTATCGTTAACTGCCTGGAATATGGATATCTGGGAGATGATAATGTCCTTGATAAAGCAAAGTTATTCTCTTTAGACAGACAGCTGACTACAAATCACACTCCACTCTGTTTTTCTATAAATCATATTACTAAAAAAAACGTGATGGCAGTCTAGATGCAGGTGAAGTTTTTTTCGAAAAAAGGCTACTTTAAAAAAAAAAAATCCTGTAGTCTAGACACACCCTCAGAGACTAACTATGCAGGGGATAACTACAGGCATAAGGCAAAAAGGCTGATCTATAACGCAAAAGGGAAGCATATGTTCTTTGAGGGTAGCATTTAAGAACAGCTATTTTTTCAGGGACTGTGTGAATGTAAATAAGGCTATGAATCATGTGTCAACTCATTTCTCTCCTAAAACAGAAATAAATAACCTACACAATAGCCCAAATCCTGGTAACTGTTCCTCCTGCTTTGTGAAATCCCCAGGTGTTGTAGAGCAGATAACTAGTTCTATACCATGTCCCCTCCCAATCGTGGCATTGAGTACATGACCAAAATGCTGCTGCACTCCCAGCAAGCTTTAGTTACTGGAAAGTACTGATCTCCATCACTGCCCTAAGAGCTGTCAGGTTGCCAGGGGCTGGAAATTTAGAAAAGCCCTTGATGTACTTCAAAGGCTCACACTCTGAAGAGAGGGGGCACACCTAGCTTGTCCATGGCCGAGTGGGAACCTGTGCAGAGTGAAACTGATGCCAGGTCTACACTAGACCTGAAAGGGGGTCTTAAGGTATGCAACTCCAGCTACTTATTCTATAGATTACCTGGAGTCGGCTTACCTTAAGCTGAGTTTGGCACCTTCCCCACTGCAATTTGCCCCGTCATCTTCCATTACTCCTTGTGGCTACAAGGAGCACAGACACTGGCCAGAGTTGCCCTCAGTGTTCGATTTACAGGTCTATATTAGACCCAATAAATCAAATGCCAGAACATCAATATCCAGCACAGTGAGTGAAGACATGCCCTGAGTGTCATCCTTCCATTAACACCTCCATTGTGAAACCTTTAAAGGAAATAAAACTGTTGTGCTTTGTAGTTTTCTCTTTTTTCAGACAAAGTTTTAAAGATACACACGTCTCACCATATTTGCAAACATAACAGTAAACTTGCTTTGGCAGATTATGCAGGTGCCTGGAGGTATATATAGAAACCTGGGTAGGTGTTAGAATTAAAACATTCACAACAGGCAAAGGAAGGAGGACTATTTCCAATTAAATGATGCATCACTTCTGAAGGCAGAATTATCCCACTCAGTCCATGAGCTCAAAAAGTTCAAAGCTTTACTTTCTGATACAAAAGTTCAGTCTTTTCAGTATCACTTTTTTCTAGCTTATTTTTATGGTTGAGACAAAGACCTTAAGATGTATGTTGCTTTGCTAAATAAAGTATTCGTTGGCTGCATAGAGATTAGATGTTGAAATGTTTTCTATAAATGTTTTATTCAGTGAAGTTAGTTCTTTGCCAGTGCAATTGGTCTCTGGTCTGGGAAGATAAGGAGTTTGCTGCTTGTATATAACCATGCGTTCTACTGGTACCATATCCACAGTCACTCTGGATTCTCCTGTTTGGAGAAGTGTATTATTCTTGATTATTTCTAAACTGATTCTGTATTTCTGTTGCATATATATGGGATCTTGGTATCAAAAGATGGGATTTTCAATGGAAGCTACTGAATCCAAGAACAGAATATTTATAAGCGAGTAATGACTTAAGAGCACAAATCTCACTGAGAGTCTAGAGGAGTTTTGCTTCTAAACCTCTGGTGTACTTTTGAAAATCCCATGCTGAATCATGAGCACAGCAGGTATTCCCTGGAAATTCATGTTTCTTGGGTTAGTTTGATTCAAATGGAGATGGAAAAGAGAACAGATGTCACGTGTATTGACAAATATTGACAAATATTAACAAATATTTACTGGCACTCTAAGCTCTCCTCAGAAAAAAGCCCAGGCTGGATTCTATCGGCTAAATCTGGAAGACAATACTGATGTACTGCAGATTTTAACCTCTTAAACCATTTGGAGCAATCTCTACATGTAGTACAAGAAAGTAGAGCACATAAATATGAAATATTATGGTGACATTAAATATAATCATTGCAATTAGTGCTTCCTTCCAGGCAGATTTACTTACTCGTTTTCTGAGGAGTAACGTTAGTTCTAACCAAGGGGTTTGATTCAAACTAATGCATCCTGGAGCGCACTTCCTGGTTTGAATCAGCTGACGAGTGGAATAGCATGTGGGTGAGATTATGCTAATGAAGCGTGGGATATTTAAATCCCTGCTTCATTAGCAATTTTGGTCGCCTACATTTGCATGCCTAGTTCGAACTAGGGAGCAAGTATAGACATACCCTAAGTTGTTTTATAGTAAGCATACACAAGAAGGCATTGTTTTGGGCTCAGAAAGCATTACTCTTGTGTAATATACCAGCTACTCATTATCATCATTATATATGGTTGATAATATGCTTGCATGGCTCTAGTGTGTTATAGAAGATGAGCACAGTACTTTACAAGCTAGCTAACAGTCAATAGGTAAAATCCCAGCTTTATTGACGTCAATGGCATAGCTCCTATTTACTTCAGTATGGTCAGAATTTCTGCAAAAGAACCGCATCTAGACAGCGGTTTCACTTTCAAAAAGCCCTTTTTTGAAAGAACATGTGGCTGCCATTATGCAAATGAAGATCGGGAAATTCAAATCCTGGCTTCATTTGCAATTTCGATCTATCTATTTACATCCCTCTTTCGAAAGAGGGATATAGTCTAGACATGCCCTAACATTCCATAAACTACTCTCTAGATTTCAGTTATATGAAAAACATAAAACCATGAATCAAACTTTGACTCTACCCCCAATCTTGGAAGTCCCACCTAATGAACCTCTCCACTATGGAGTATTGCATCCTGACCTGAGTATGGATTGTGATTAGAAGCAAGGGGTAGCATGTGATCCAAAAACTCTCTCCACCACCATTTACTAATTGGAAAGTGTTTCAGCCCTGTAGGATCTCCTCAAGCATGCGGATGACCAATCAGGGCAAGTTCTGGAGTGCCCTAGCAGAAGAGAGTCTTGTGACCTGGGTAAGACCTCCTTCCACTGCCCTCTACCTATTGGAAAGATTTTCAGACCTCTTGTTTTGTGGACTTGGCCATCTTGTTTCAATAACATGTTTCCAGAAATCATGGAAATGTTGAGAAAAAACATAGATGCCTCCATTATCCTCATGTAAATTATATTTTGTTTTAGTTCCTAGGGTGCTCGGTTGCTTGCAAAGAAAGTGCTATATCAGTGACAGTTCTGAGAAGGAGGGAGAAGCCCTGAAAGTGAGATATAGGCAATTATGAGCCAGAGTGATGAGCACAGAATCTATCTGCTCTCCTCCAGGGAGTCGGACATCAATCATGACTCCTTGGAGTCATTACTGGACAATATTAACTGACATGATACCACTTGGATAAACAGACTATAAAAAGCGGAGTTCAAGGGGATGTAATGAAGCAGGAATCTATATGAAGTTGTATAAAAATAGGGAACTTACAGCTATTTGTTTTGTGAAAACATTTCAACAACTCAATGATGCCTTTCTAGAATTTCTAGACAGCTTTGTATCAGAAAGCAAAGATGAATCAAGCCCACTTTTCTTTGCTTAACACTGACGGTTTGTCTAGACTACAGGGTTTTGTCAACAAAAGTGGACTTTTGTCGACAAAACTATACCTGTGTCTACACTATCACTGAGTTCTGTCAACATAACATCGACAGAACTCAGCAGTTTTGTCGATGGTGGTAAGCCTCATTCTATGAGGAATAACGCCTTTTGTCGACAGAGTTCTCTCTACATATGGTGTTATTGCATTTACACTGTCCTTTGATCTACACTCTCATGTCGACAAAGGGGCTTGCTTTGTTGACAGAACTGGATGTAGTCTAGATGCTCTTTGTCGACAGAAGCTTTGTTGACAGTATCTGTCGACAAAGCCTCTGTCGACAAAAGCCTGTAGTCTAGATGTACCCGAGAGAGATTGTTCAAGAGGACACCAATGCCTTATCAACACTATCACAATAAATAAACATAAGTTACACTACTCCAACTACGTCAATAATGTAATTGGAGTTGACTCAGTTTAAGTTGACTTACTATTCCATGTTGCATAGATGGGAGACACTCTTGATTGACTTACTTATTCTTCCCATTCTGGTGGTGTACCTGAGATGACAGGAGAGTCTTCTGCCATTGAATTATTGAGTCTTCACCAGACCGACTAAATCAATCCCTGCTGTATCAAACACAGCAGCATCACTCTCCAGTAAGTGTACACCCAATTGTTGCCTGTGTCACACAGGGAAGCTGCCGTGAACACTTCTTGGGCTGGGATAATTCTGGCTATAAATACTCACCTGTGTCTATTAACACTTCATCAGTGATAAAGATACTTTGCCTCATAGAGTCTACACATTATCAGCAAATAAGTTTGATGAATGGTCAAACTAAGCAGTTTATGTAATGCCCACACAGGGTGGTAGTGGCATTCACTAATTAATAGTACAAAGCACAGGAAAATGCTATGGGATAGTCTTCAAGGAAATAACAAAAGTCTTTACAAGTGGTCTAATCTTGTCTAAACACACACAAAATGCTCAACCTTAAAAGGAGTAGAATTATAAACATTGTGAAAGGCATATGAAGTACAGACATTTAACATCAAAATGTATAAACTCCATACATGAAAATAAAAAGACACATAGATGATAGCAAGATATTTAAGAAGTCAGGATGAAGAGGAGAAACACATAACTGGGGAAAAGGCTGCAGCTATGGATTAGTAACAAGCCTAAATCTTTATGTTTCTGTTACAAGATCTATGGGCGGGAGGGGAGCTTTAATTATAACAGTGTTTGATGGGCTTTCAAAGGCTTGTATGTTTTAAAATGAAAATAGCTTGCTAGAATCCTGCTATTGGTCTTTAAAAAAATATTTACAACACAAAGATGAAAACTTTGTAGCGGAAACTGTGGTAAATAAAATGTTGGGGTTTAAAATAAAGCAACACCCCCCCATCCAATCCCTAAGAACATAAGAATGGTCCATCTTGCTTAATATCCTGTCTCCTGATAGTGACCAAGATCGGTTGTTTCAGAGAGAATGTCTAGAACAGGTGATCATCAAGTGATCCAACTTCTCTCACTCATTCTCAGATTCTGGAAAACAGAGGCTAGGGATGCCATTTGATAACTTTATAAAACATGGAAGTTTGACATTTGTATACAGAACAATAGCACTGAATCAAACCCATTAAAATAAATTGGGACAACTTTGTTTAACAATTCTTTTGAAATGACAGGAGTGGTCTTCAGTTATCCTCTTACTGTTGGCCTAAATGTGATTATCCACCTACATTTCCTTAACACTCCATCTGGATTAAAAATATTCTGCTTTATCAGAGAGCTGTGTAAGCAGTTTGCTGAGCTTTACCCACAGAAATATCAGTAAAAAGATTTGAAGATCAGAAATGTGGATGGTGAGATCAGATTAATAGTAAATTAAATAAAGCCTCACAGGTCTGTAGAATGCTATTGGTCAATTTTTCTAGCAACTGAAAAAATTATGGAAAGTATAAGAGTAATTAATTTTCAAAAGTAACAAACACCTGGTCTATTTCAAATTGTAAATGTTGAAGGGAGCCACAAACCTCCAATGTACTTATAACAATAAGTATGTTCTTTCAGAACAAAAGTCTCATCAAATATTTAAAGAGCAAAAAGTTATCAACAGCAAACTTAGGCTACGTCTAGACTGCAAGCCCCTTTCGAAAGAGGCTTTTTCAAAAGATACTTTCGAAAAAGCCTCTTTTGAAAAAGAGCATCTAGACTACAATCAGTACTTTCGAAAAAGCAAGTCGCTTTTTCAAAAGAGAGCACCCAGGAAGTCTGGAAGCTCTCTTTCGAAAAAGCACAGTTTGCATTACATAGCACCTTTTTTCGAAAGAGCACTTTCGAAAAAAGGAGTTTTTCCTTGTAAAACGAGGTTTTCCGCAATCGAAAAAACTGCTGCATTCTTTCAATTTACTTTCAAAAGAACACATCAGCAGTCTAGATGCAGGGGAAGTTTTTTTGAAAAAAGGCTACTTTTTTCGAAAAAGACCCCTGTAGTCTAGACACACCCTTACTGTGTAGACAGTTTAATTTTTACCCAAAGAACACAAAAAGGGAATGAATGAACAGTGGTGCACCCTTTTCTTATGTATCAATTTAGAGATGTAGTGATCAAATAAACCGGCTAAATGCAGACATTGAAGTCTGAAACAAAGAAGTAGGTTGGTGTAACAATATGAGGATTTGTTCGTTTGTTTTGTCTTTTTGCAATAGACACCATCTTGAACAGAATGGCTGCTGCTAGATTTCAAAACAAGGTATGGTGATTGTTTTAAAACTCTGAAAATGTATATTATACATTCTTATTCTCTGTGCATGCAATATTAATAAGGGCATAACTTTATTGCAATATGAACTGTTTAGCATGGAAGCAACAACTTCAAATGGTAATCTACCAGAGCAAGGTAAAACCCCATTTTGACCATGTTTGTGTTTAATATAGGTTTGGTATATAGATATGTGTCTGTGTGGTGGTAGTGGGGGAGTATTTTGTTGCTAAATGTTTTTGGTTGTGGGTGCTTCAAATAATAGGATGGGTTTATGTGTGTATGTAATTGATACATGGTTTTGCTAATAGGTGCACAGAACAAACAAGTGTCAAGACTGAAAAACAAGTGTCAGTCTTCATGTGTCAGTCTTGTGTGGGTGCTTGTGAGTGGATGTTTTATATCCTGAAATGAATTTTGTAAAGCTGTGCTTAGCATGCCTTTTAAAGAAAGGGGAAAAACACCACAACTGATATTTTATTTTAAAATTTAATTACAAGACTGTTTCATGGGTTTTTTTATAATAATGTTGTCACATAGCACAGTCAAAACAAGAGATCCCCTTAGTCTAGTGTATACACGGTAAAAACAAATAAAAGAAAAAGGAAAATTCACCAGCATCTATTGCTGACATTTGGTTGAATGCTAGTAAATATATTTTGAATATGTATTTGGGTTGTTTTTAAACAGGTCAGTAGAGTTGGCAGATGGATGACATATCTGTGGGTGGCAAAGGGATTACGGTTTAAGATTGTGGATTTTTTAAAATGGACTTTTGATACTGAATTCGGACACCTGTTTTCCTGAACTATGCCTGTGCAACTCTTCTGATGATGCCTTAGACACAACTACAGACATACCATCAGGAGAACCACTACAGAAACAGGAAGATGCTCTGAGACCTTTAACAACAATGCTACCTCTAAGCAAAAGAAAACCACAGACAAAGCATCAGAGCACAGCTCATTGTTCAGATGCATCAAGCCAAAGGACTAAACAAAAAACTCAAGTAGAAAGAAACAATGAAAACACATCTCCAATGTCTCAGTGGTTGACACTGCATAAAGCCCTCAGAAAACTAAGAGTAAAAACACAAAGGTTCTCAAACCCAAAGCATGTGCTTTAGAGATTATGAACAAAAAAACAAGAACTGAAAGTTCATGCAATGCAGGGGTATGTCCTTATGAAGTCTCTGACATTTTAATGAACTATTCTCATACTTCAGTAAGACTGAGTCCTCAGGGGTACTAACAGAAAAGATAACTGGAGACTATATGAAAATTCAAAAGACTCTTGTGACTGACTGAAAAATTCTTCCGTTTCCCAGGAGATGGTCCTGGTTCTGAGAAGGCATGACCAGGCTTGGAAAGGGATAAAGGCAGGGGGCTGACAGAATTGCTAGGCCCCTAGACCCCTAGACAGGGTGAGTGGAACCCAAATCCCCTTCCAGGCTCCGCCCCTTCTATCAAATTTGCAGGTCATGAAATATTACAGGATCAGCCACATTTGTCATTTCATGTTTGGAGAGCAGTGCAGGATTCATACTTTCAGGCAAAGATGGTGTGTATACATCTTTGCAAAGACAGTTGAAAAACAATGTAAAACAAAGTTGGAAGCCCATTGTATGATGGCACAGAGAAAACTGCATCATTGGACAGTGCTCCTGCCCCCACAATGCACTGCAATCCATTCTTGTAATTCCTGGTGGCAGAACATGCTGGGTTGGGCAGTGAAATAGCTACCCACAGTACACTGCTTTCTCTGTTAATGCCAGAGCACTGGATCTGGGCATGTTCCACTGACACAAGAAGCAACATGTGAAATTGCACAGGCAAAATAATTTCAGCAGTTTATGATCGTTGACAGAACTTGTTGACATAACTCTGTAGTGTAGACATAGCCTAAGAGGTATTGACTGGCTTAAAAAGCCTATTGTTTCATCCCAGGTCTACACTACAAATTCTGTCAGTAAAACTGTGTTGCTCAGGGATATGGAAAAGCCATGTTATACTGACTAAGCTCCGAGTAGACAGCACTATGTCAAGGAGAGGTTTTCTCCCATTAGTATAGCTACCACCACTTTGTAAGTTGGAATGCCTACTTCCATAAGAAAAGGGCAAAGGTAAAAATCTTCACTAAGCCCTACAGCAGTGTAGCTGCACCAGCTCAGGGCATAAGTATAGGCATGCCACAAACAGACAATGGAGACAAAAGGTAGGTGGGAAAACAGAACCCCAGAGAGGTGAAGTGAGTTGCTCAAGGTAAGACCCCAGGTCAGTGACAACCAAGAAAAGAACCCAGGTCTCTTGATTCCCCATCCAGTGGGGTCTCCTTTAGACCACACAATGTTTCCAAGTTTGTCCTATCCTAAATGTTGTACTATCAGGATCTCATCTGAACCTATCTAAGCAGACTTCTCCAATCCCCTTAATTCTTTTAACATCAGTGCTGGGGTACCTTATGGGGAATTGGACAACACTACCCCTTCCAATGTAAAGACATAGCAACTAGTGTGGTTGAAAACCTAACTCATCCAAATAAGAAGTTGAAATAAAAGTTGGCAATTATTATTTATAATGATGAAAGCAGCTAAACTAAATAATGATGATTGATGGTAGGTACTTGTGTAATACTGTATCTTGTTCATTGGCCTGGAACATATTAATATCTCATTCACTCTTCATTTAAAAACTAAAAAGAAATTGCAGTGAATTACAAAATAAGATATAAACATGATTTTGTTAGTAGGGGAAAAAGGAGGGGAGGATTTACTTGAAAGAGTTTAAATAATGAATTCTCAACCTGCAATTCCAGCAGTTCCTGGTTGTGTCATGATCACCCATTCTTTTCTAAGATTAGATACAAGGCTCCTGATTTGTACCTCTTTTCATGTAACATGGGATCATAGTGGACAATGTGAAAACCTACTGGTTCAAAATTTTCCTAGTGAATGTAGGCCTGAATTAGAAGTCAAAGCATATCTAAAGATTTACCAGTTCATAAACTATTAATGAAGACAAGAGGGGTGTATGGAAGCATCTGGAAATGTAGTTTTTATCACAGCTAGAGTCTTCGAGTACACAGCATAAAACTGTTGCCTACAGCCTATTTTTTAAATAGAGGATTTATGTGGATTTGTGGTGGCATAATTTTAGTAAGAATGAATAATTTCCATGATTTTCTTAATCAATGTATAATAGCCATATATTGCATTTCTTTCCCTGCATGAGAATTTCAATCAGTTTTACTCCTAAAAGATTATATGAAATTTTGTGTTGTAGGGAAGACTATAATGTTTCTTTACTGCCCAGTTTCTTGTATGCTTTTTTATATAAATACACTCCCTTTTAAAGACAGCTCTACACTGCCACTTGCATCACTACTTATCTTATTCAGGGATGTGACTAAGCCACCTTTGAGTTATGTAAGTTACATCAACTTAAGCACTGGTTTAAGCAATATGTTTGTGGGAGAGCTTCTCCCATGGATATAACCATCATCTCTTGCAGAGGTGGATTTATTCTGACACAAGAGCTTTCTCCCATAGTGGTATAGATTACCTGTGACATATGGCCAGAAATGGGTAAGAAGCTCCCAGGCTAAATGAACGTAGAGACATGTTGGCAAAGTATGTAGATGGCAACAATTGTCATTCCATGATAGATAAACTAGAACTTTGAAATGCAAACCTGCATTGTTAGACAATTAGACGTACACTAATTGTATGAGTGTCCTTATATCTTGTTAGATATTAGCTGTGTGAACCTACAGTTCCGGTTTATCACTCTAGCTATTGATTTAGGCTACGTCTACATTGGCATGATTTTGTGCAAGAACTCTTTTGCGGAAGAGTTCTCGTGCAAAAACTTTTCCAGAAGAGAGCGTCTACACTCGCATGTGCCTTTGTGCAAGAGATATGCTTTTGCACAAGAGCATCCATGCCAGTGTAGACGGTCTCTTGCACAAGAAAGCTCTGACGGCCATTTTAACCATGAGGCTTTCTTGCGCAAGAAATTCATGTTGCCTGTCTACACTGACCTCTTGCACAAGAACAGTTGCGCAAGAGGGTTCATTCCTGAGCGGGAGCATTATAGTTCTTGTGCAAGAAGCACTGATTTCATACATTAGAACGTCAGTGTTCTTGTGCAAGAACTTGCGGCCAGTGTAGACAGGCAGCAACTTTTTGTGCAAAAGCATTTGCGCAAGATCACACCAATGTAGACAATGTAGAGTCCAAAAGGGATTATTAACATTTAGATGAATTCTCAGGTGAAATAATGTCATACAAGGAGCACAGACACTGGCCAGAGTTGCCCTCAGTGTTCGATTTACAGGTCTATATTAGACCCAATAAATCAAATGCCAGAACATCAATATCCAGCACAGTGAGTGAAGACATGCCCTGAGTGTCATCCTTCCATTAACACCTCCATTGTGAAACCTTTAAAGGAAATAAAACTGTTGTGCTTTGTAGTTTTCTCTTTTTTCAGACAAAGTTTTAAAGATACACACGTCTCACCATATTTGCAAACATAACAGTAAACTTGCTTTGGCAGATTATGCAGGTGCCTGGAGGTATATATAGAAACCTGGGTAGGTGTTAGAATTAAAACATTCACAACAGGCAAAGGAAGGAGGACTATTTCCAATTAAATGATGCATCACTTCTGAAGGCAGAATTATCCCACTCAGTCCATGAGCTCAAAAAGTTCAAAGCTTTACTTTCTGATACAAAAGTTCAGTCTTTTCAGTATCACTTTTTTCTAGCTTATTTTTATGGTTGAGACAAAGACCTTAAGATGTATGTTGCTTTGCTAAATAAAGTATTCGTTGGCTGCATAGAGATTAGATGTTGAAATGTTTTCTATAAATGTTTTATTCAGTGAAGTTAGTTCTTTGCCAGTGCAATTGGTCTCTGGTCTGGGAAGATAAGGAGTTTGCTGCTTGTATATAACCATGCGTTCTACTGGTACCATATCCACAGTCACTCTGGATTCTCCTGTTTGGAGAAGTGTATTATTCTTGATTATTTCTAAACTGATTCTGTATTTCTGTTGCATATATATGGGATCTTGGTATCAAAAGATGGGATTTTCAATGGAAGCTACTGAATCCAAGAACAGAATATTTATAAGCGAGTAATGACTTAAGAGCACAAATCTCACTGAGAGTCTAGAGGAGTTTTGCTTCTAAACCTCTGGTGTACTTTTGAAAATCCCATGCTGAATCATGAGCACAGCAGGTATTCCCTGGAAATTCATGTTTCTTGGGTTAGTTTGATTCAAATGGAGATGGAAAAGAGAACAGATGTCACGTGTATTGACAAATATTGACAAATATTAACAAATATTTACTGGCACTCTAAGCTCTCCTCAGAAAAAAGCCCAGGCTGGATTCTATCGGCTAAATCTGGAAGACAATACTGATGTACTGCAGATTTTAACCTCTTAAACCATTTGGAGCAATCTCTACATGTAGTACAAGAAAGTAGAGCACATAAATATGAAATATTATGGTGACATTAAATATAATCATTGCAATTAGTGCTTCCTTCCAGGCAGATTTACTTACTCGTTTTCTGAGGAGTAACGTTAGTTCTAACCAAGGGGTTTGATTCAAACTAATGCATCCTGGAGCGCACTTCCTGGTTTGAATCAGCTGACGAGTGGAATAGCATGTGGGTGAGATTATGCTAATGAAGCGTGGGATATTTAAATCCCTGCTTCATTAGCAATTTTGGTCGCCTACATTTGCATGCCTAGTTCGAACTAGGGAGCAAGTATAGACATACCCTAAGTTGTTTTATAGTAAGCATACACAAGAAGGCATTGTTTTGGGCTCAGAAAGCATTACTCTTGTGTAATATACCAGCTACTCATTATCATCATTATATATGGTTGATAATATGCTTGCATGGCTCTAGTGTGTTATAGAAGATGAGCACAGTACTTTACAAGCTAGCTAACAGTCAATAGGTAAAATCCCAGCTTTATTGACGTCAATGGCATAGCTCCTATTTACTTCAGTATGGTCAGAATTTCTGCAAAAGAACCGCATCTAGACAGCGGTTTCACTTTCAAAAAGCCCTTTTTTGAAAGAACATGTGGCTGCCATTATGCAAATGAAGATCGGGAAATTCAAATCCTGGCTTCATTTGCAATTTCGATCTATCTATTTACATCCCTCTTTCGAAAGAGGGATATAGTCTAGACATGCCCTAACATTCCATAAACTACTCTCTAGATTTCAGTTATATGAAAAACATAAAACCATGAATCAAACTTTGACTCTACCCCCAATCTTGGAAGTCCCACCTAATGAACCTCTCCACTATGGAGTATTGCATCCTGACCTGAGTATGGATTGTGATTAGAAGCAAGGGGTAGCATGTGATCCAAAAACTCTCTCCACCACCATTTACTAATTGGAAAGTGTTTCAGCCCTGTAGGATCTCCTCAAGCATGCGGATGACCAATCAGGGCAAGTTCTGGAGTGCCCTAGCAGAAGAGAGTCTTGTGACCTGGGTAAGACCTCCTTCCACTGCCCTCTACCTATTGGAAAGATTTTCAGACCTCTTGTTTTGTGGACTTGGCCATCTTGTTTCAATAACATGTTTCCAGAAATCATGGAAATGTTGAGAAAAAACATAGATGCCTCCATTATCCTCATGTAAATTATATTTTGTTTTAGTTCCTAGGGTGCTCGGTTGCTTGCAAAGAAAGTGCTATATCAGTGACAGTTCTGAGAAGGAGGGAGAAGCCCTGAAAGTGAGATATAGGCAATTATGAGCCAGAGTGATGAGCACAGAATCTATCTGCTCTCCTCCAGGGAGTCGGACATCAATCATGACTCCTTGGAGTCATTACTGGACAATATTAACTGACATGATACCACTTGGATAAACAGACTATAAAAAGCGGAGTTCAAGGGGATGTAATGAAGCAGGAATCTATATGAAGTTGTATAAAAATAGGGAACTTACAGCTATTTGTTTTGTGAAAACATTTCAACAACTCAATGATGCCTTTCTAGAATTTCTAGACAGCTTTGTATCAGAAAGCAAAGATGAATCAAGCCCACTTTTCTTTGCTTAACACTGACGGTTTGTCTAGACTACAGGGTTTTGTCAACAAAAGTGGACTTTTGTCGACAAAACTATACCTGTGTCTACACTATCACTGAGTTCTGTCAACATAACATCGACAGAACTCAGCAGTTTTGTCGACGGTGGTAAGCCTCATTCTATGAGGAATAACGCCTTTTGTCGACAGAGTTCTCTCTACATATGGTGTTATTGCATTTACACTGTCCTTTGATCTACACTCTCATGTCGACAAAGGGGCTTGCTTTGTTGACAGAACTGGATGTAGTCTAGATGCTCTTTGTCGACAGAAGCTTTGTTGACAGTATCTGTCGACAAAGCCTCTGTCGACAAAAGCCTGTAGTCTAGATGTACCGGAGAGAGATTGTTCAAGAGGACACCAATGCCTTATCAACACTATCACAATAAATAAACATAAGTTACACTACTCCAACTACGTCAATAATGTAATTGGAGTTGACTCAGTTTAAGTTGACTTACTATTCCATGTTGCATAGATGGGAGACACTCTTGATTGACTTACTTATTCTTCCCATTCTGGTGGTGTACCTGAGATGACAGGAGAGTCTTCTGCCATTGAATTATTGAGTCTTCACCAGACCGACTAAATCAATCCCTGCTGTATCAAACACAGCAGCATCACTCTCCAGTAAGTGTACACCCAATTGTTGCCTGTGTCACACAGGGAAGCTGCCGTGAACACTTCTTGGGCTGGGATAATTCTGGCTATAAATACTCACCTGTGTCTATTAACACTTCATCAGTGATAAAGATACT